ATCGACGGAAACTCGGCAACGTCTGAAGGTTCACACGGCGTTTTTCCTTAAAACGGCAATACCTACTGGCCAAAGGTCTTATTAATTATTCGCGCTCCAATCCAGCAAAAATAGAATTGCCCGAAGGATCTCCAAGTCGTTTCTCGTTTCGTGTCGTGTCGTTTCCTTAACAGCCTTCAGTTTTGCGTTAGCCGGTCCTTTGAGCATTATTGTGACCCTCACGAAAATGTCGATATTATCAGACTCAAGGTCAGAAGTTCTTCAAGGTTACTTTCAGGCGAAATTAAGAGTCGTTGATTGAATAATTTGACAAGTGAAGGCTCTGTCACGAAACTTTTATGCACGTTGGAAAACTTTACGACCTGGCCACTTTTGCATAAACTCTCAGAAAATGCGTCCAATGATCCCTCGTAAAAATTGGCGATAAGAGTTGCGTTTCAAAATACCATAGGAATTCTTAAAGCCGGCTAAAGAAGGCTACAGAAAATCATGTAGCTGGCTGTAGAATGCGGAGAAAATCATACGGCCGGGCTACACGAAGCGATAAAAAATTATGCAGCCGGGCTATAGTTCCTGTCGCCGGGCTTCACACTTTGTCACCTGGCTGTTGCTTTTTCGCCATCGATTGTAAAAGGCTGTAAGAAATTGTGTAGAAACTCGTGTGCTTTGGAAATCATTAAGTTTGATACGGAACCACCTTAATATTTACAAAACACACATTATATTTTCCTTCAATACTTTTTTTTTTTTTTTTCATCAATTAAAACGAGAAGAATGCATACAGGATGTGCAAACATTTCAAAATCATGAGATGAATAACGCTGACTCCGCCACATTAAATATTAGAGCCTAACACAAAGCGGAGCGGCGACGCACTAGCGCCTAAAAACCTAATAACAGGGATACTTCACGCATTGCGCAACGCATGAAGTATCCCCGTTAGGTTTGTAGGCGCCAATGCGCGTTTCGCGCTGGCTGCCCGCCTGCCGCACCACAGCGTGCCACGCCCCGGCGCTTAAAGCAATTATTTCACACCAGAGGTATTGCACAGTATCATACGAAATTGAAGGCGCTCTAATATATTAGGAATGGCAGGCATCCATCCAAAGTACGGAGCTTTCCTCGCAAAATAAATCAATATACTACGGCCCAAAAAGAGAGCAGTGGTCCAAAAACTCACTAATTGTAAGTCCTAGCATCCGTAATTAGTGAAGTTTAGCATACACTTTATCGCCTGTCTGTGAGTTGCTTAATCGCCATAGGCTATAAAAGGCTATAAGAAATTGTGTAGCCGTCTATAGAAGCTATTGGAAATCTTACAGCCGGCCGTAGGTCTACGGTATTTTGGAACACAGATTCTACTGCCAATTTTTACCAGGGATAGTTGACCCGTGCAAGTGTAAATGATCCACGTCCGATAAGTATAATTAATTTTATTCTAATCACTTATTGTCGAACTCTTGATAAATTCTGAGATAATTTGCCGGTAAATTTCGCGATAATTTGCACTACGACTACACGTTCTTTATTTGGTCACTGAAAAATTTCAATATGCTCCTTCATTAATATCTTAGCCGACATTTCTCATATATTTTCAGAAATTTCGAGGAAGATAGAGAATTTAAAGTTCCCAGTGACACTCCAAATGATCTCTCTTTATACATTTTAAAGGTAACATATATCGCCAGTTTGAAACGTTAGGATCTATCTCAGCCTCATTGGTAAAAAACAGATCGACGTGAAACTAAGTACGATCTATGAGCACATTATAATGTTATGGTGAAGCATAAGTTGCAAATTAATAAACTAAAAAATTATGTAATAATGTTTTTTGTTCTAATCTGACCATCGAAACAAGTACAGCTTGAGTGAAAAGGGCTTTCATTTTTAGTATGGTGGACATAGAACTGCCAAGTTTCGGACAGTCACATCATGCTCTTGATCACTAACGACTATAATTTCGACGTCCGTGACGCTAAGGTGGCCGAGTTTGCGTTTTGAAGGCATTTTTTATGGCAGCGCAACCTCCATGATGATACAATACTTGATTATTAGAGATTTCACTCACGTAATCAAACCAATTCTCTCTGCCTGAAGCTGTTACCGTGTTGGGTAAAAGTTCCCTGTATCAAGAGGTAGATACTTCTCATGTATTCAACCCTGCCCTAAACTGTAAATACCCTGCTCCGTCAAAAATGTATTTTCCTCTTGAGTCAATGCCAAATTCTGCTAACTTCAGAATACCTGTTGCTTTCTGTACAATTTGATTTCTCTCACTCGCACACAACCTATTCTGCCTCTGAGTGTGGCCACTGTTCGTAAAAACGAACATTTGATCTCAATTAGCGTAAGATTATCCATTTTTCCGATAAAATTAAGCGTATAATATGGGAAAAATTCATAAATAAAAAGCGACGGAGCGTGGGTATTTTGATTTTGTGTAGTGAGAAATACTATGTGCAACCTTGGCGAAATCTCTCGATGCGCTTTCAACGTTTCGAGTTTCCTCTTTTCAAATGCCGAAGCCTGGGGATTTAAACCAGAAGTTAGACCCATCCAGTAACGCACCATGTAGCACTGGGCGTCTTCCACAATCCCCACCAATCAACGACTTAATGTGACGTTCAATGGCATTAGGTGGCGGAACTCTCTCTAGAAGAACTCCTGCTACCATACTACCGCTCTGAGGTAAAGCGCAGTATGAACATTAAATAGGTTTATACGAGGTTCATCATGTCTATTGATATTAATCATTGTTGAGAAAAGTAATGGATGATACTCTTTTAAATTTGAAAATTCCAGGTATTAAGTTAAATAAAGAGAAAAATCCTCAACAAACAAACACAAAATTCACGAGATTGAGAGGGTACTTCATCTACGGAATTTTGACAAATTTCTGTTAGATCTGACAAATGTTGAGAAATTTGTATTTTATCTGACGAGTTTTGGCAAGATCCGAATAGACATTCGGTGTTTCGACTGAGCAAGTCAATACAAGAGCAAATATTCTGCATGGCTCAGGCATGAGTGCTGGATCTCGCAATTGGAGTTGGCCTGGAAACTGGAAGCACGCGTAAGTGAGCCTGGGCTTGTACGGAGCAATCCTAATGTAATTATTTCATATCCGGTGTCAACTCACAACTCACTCACTCACTCGCTCACTCACTCCGGTAGCCCCCCGCGGTAATCCCGGGCTCCAGGGCACGGGGGGCGGAGGTCAGCGCTTTCCAATTCAAGGTTCCTGGTCACAACTCAATGGGCACCCTCACCTGGCAATAGCTGGCATCCAGGCCATCTCCCTGACTGCCCCCTTCCAGCGGCTTCCCGTGTTCCGCCGACCATCAGGGCACCGTTGCCGGCTCCACCACATACATCCGCTCATCATCCCATACAACGATCCACGTTGTAAGCCGTTGGATTTAAATGAGGGCATGAAGGGCGTGCTTGGAAATTATTCCGTTCATGGCGTACAATTTCTCACGAGGAAGGGGTAAAAACAACGGAGGATCGTCGAAGCTTATCTTGGGGAGGAAGACCTTTTGAAGCAATCCGCGGGGTACATCCAGCTTCAGGGGATGAGGTCTATGATACTGCATACTGGTAGTTTTACAGGGGTAGTGAAGTGTTCGACAGTGCGTTTTGAGACACATTTTCCACTGAGTTTATTCCTGTCTCTTCGCGAATAAGCAATAACTGCATACTTTTCCATTTTATTTATTTTTTCTCGAAGATAACTTTTTCTTTTCACTCTGTGAAGCAAATATAATCTACTCGCTTAATTTAACATGCTTTTTGGGGTTCTTTGGAAAGCTGTGAGAAAGAGGTTGGTTATAGCCAACGCTAAAACATTTTCGAGGGTTGTTGAGCTTCCACACAAAAACGTTAAATTGAAAACCTCACTTCCTCCCCACTCCTATTCCGCTCATCCCCGCCACAAGGTCAATTCTACAAATTGAAAGTCCCAATCATCACTAGAATACCAATGTCAAGTCTCTCTGCCACCACTTAGTGATCTCAAAGTAATCATTTGTAGATCTCAAGGAGACCTTACAGAGGGGCGCAGCGCTCCAGGGACTTGAGTTTTAGGAAACAGCATTACAACAATACGTTACGTATTTTACGGACCGCCTCTTATTCTCCGCAATGATGAGAATCGGGAGAAAAGGGTTTAACCACCCTTTTACAGGGGTGCTACGGGTCCCTCCGTAGACCTTCCTATATGCCAGGGGACCCAGGTGTCTGGAAGGCCCTCAGCTTTAGGGAATTTTGTTTTTTCGTGTGATTGTTATTAGCTTATCGGTTACTAGAGGGTTCCGATCTTGTGCTCCGGGGGTTTTCTGAATGTTCCTCCTTTTGTCCACTTTTCGGATTTTGAGCCTTGAGCTCCCCCTTAGAGTTTTGGAGCCTAGAAGCCAACTGGCTGATTGTTGAAATTGATATACAAAGCTATAGACAAAAAAGACAAAAAGGATATCGAGGGATCCTATTGGTGGAAGCGGGTGGTTGCAATGGACCCTGGAGGTATAGGTAATAGACTAACTAACGGCAACCCACGAGAAACCCTTCAGTTAGTCCATCCTTTTCTCCCTCAATTTATAAAAACCACCACTTTAAACCAGTAGGATTGCTTCATACTCCCTATGTCTTCTTTGTCTATCGCTTTGTCCATCAAATTCAACAATAAGCTCGCAGGGGAGCGGACGGGGAATACGGTGAAGGAAGGGGGGTGAGGAGGTGGTTTTGAATGGGAGAGGGCCCCCGAAATATTTTTCCGGGGGAGGCCCAGCGAGACTCCGTTACGCCAATGACGACTTCCGTTTTACCCTGACCTTGGGATTCTCTAAGTTTGCCGCGCTTTTCACGGGTCACCCTGATCCGGGGCCGTGGAAATGCGCCGCTTTTCCGGGGCTCGTCCGGCAGCGCCGTGCGGGGGAGTATCGTCCCGCGATTTGTGTTTACACTCCGAGTGTTGGGAGTTTGTTCAGTCAGTTCGAGTGAGGCGAGCCGGTCCGCGCGCGCGCTGCTTTCGTGATCGCCCGTTTCCACTCCACGTTGCCCCCACGTCCAGCGCACGTCCCTACGTCCACTCCACGTCCAAGTTCTAAGTTGCCGTCGCTTCGGGTTCGCCGCGCGCCGTTGAGTGCCGCCTCCAGAACCCCCCCCCCCTTTCTTCGACGCGGCTGTCTTGTCGCTTCGCCGAATGGAGTCCATGTTCTTGGATGTAAGTACCCCACCAGCACACGCCACCTCCCGCACTAAGAAGCTCCTCTCGCACGGAGTTTGGATTTTACGCGATAAGGAGCATGCGCAAATTTTAAACACGTCGAACCCGCAAGTTCAGGTGCACTCTGGAGAAATAAGGGGCACCGAAGGTGAAAGTGCAAAACCGCGAGTCTTTTCTGCAGTGTTTCAAAATCTTCTCGCCCATTTTTTTTAGACGGAAAAAAGAGGTAGGGGTTATTGGATGACATGGACTTTTTCAATTGGATCGCATTTAGCAAAATGGAACCAGCGCGATTAAAAAATCGTGCGACTTCTTCTTTACTTTTAAAAATACTCAATATTTGTACAGTATTAAAATTTACACAATTACACTCCTTTAAATTGACAATTTTTTTGGTGGGAAGTAAAAAGTATTTGCTCTTTTGGGAGATCTCTTACATAATTGGATTACATTTTGCAATAAGGAACTATCTCAGGCTCTTCTGTAAAAGCACCTTTATGCATAGGAAAACCAATGGCATTTATGTTGTTTCTAAAATGAGCCCGAAATAGTGGCTCTTTTTTGCAAAATGTAGTCCAATTATGAAGAAGCAACATTCCACAACACTGGAATCGCGCTGGTTCCTTTTTGCTAAATGCAATCCATGGTAGTACCCCAATTAGTAACTGTGGTGTGGTACCTAGTATCCTAATAAATTAGGTATTACTAACCCAAATGCTGTGGTACTACCGTAATCAATTTGAAATGCCCATATCATCCAAAAAATTGGGGTATCGCCACACTTTTAGGGGATAACCCGTAACACTTGTTATCAAAGGAGATCAAACCGATCACATTACCGCTTGCAATTTTCACAGAAAATACTTCACTGAAAGAGAGAAAATCAGGGGAGTTTTCAAATTTTTTTCGGTGCTTCGGTTGCCTCGTGAAATACTTCAACCGAATCGCAGAGTTACTTCAGACATGTGGCCCAAACTTCAGCAGCTGAACCTCAAGTTTTCAGATGCACGATCCAAAAACTTCGGAGATCCATACGACCTAAACTTCGGGCCTCATTCATGAGGTTTTTTTGTCCTCGCGATGAGTTTTTCCCCATTTAAAAAATAAATCATGACCAGAAGTCTGCGCGTCGCAAACAGAAATACAATTTTTTGCAGTTTCACCGCCAATGCGGAACAATGAAGAATTTTCACGGTGAAATTGTGTTGCTTTACATGAAAGAGCTTGATGAAGATGATTTAGTGTTTACAATTTTTTAGTAAGGTAAATCAGAGAGAAAAAATTTTAAACATTGGAATATGTATCACCCTGTCACATCATAGGGTGGAATCTTCAATTCATACACAGGCGGCTTTGCAGATGAAATCATTTTGAACCTAAAATGGACGTATTTCTGCCAAACGGGACTATGTACATTAAGACATGAGCCCTAAGACCCAGAAGAACATTTGCCTCACAGGGCTCACGTCATAATGCACTTAGTTCCATTTGGGAGGAATACGTCCAATTGTCCAATTTCTGGACCGAGCAGGGTGCGAGGAAGCAGTATTCCCTCGTTTTCGCCTCGAAAAAGGCTTCATACGCCGAAACAGTCAAAAATTTCCGTGCATGTTCATGGTTTCTTTGGATTACGTTAAGCTACTTTTTTTCTCGATCAGATCAACCAACCGGACTTGGTTGATCGACACAATTATCGGTTTCATAGACAGGAACCGTTGGTTACTCTGGAATATCTGGAGACTGAGAGAGTGTCCTGCTGAACTAATGCACTCCTGTTTATGTTGTTGCCTTTTGCGAGTGGCTAGCGCATTGGACCGGCACCAATCTGCCGTTCTAAGGAAGAAGGCCGTATGAGCCTTCAGACGTTGCCAAATTTCCTCTGATAGAAACCAAATTTACTGGGAAATTTTGCGGATATTATTTTTCAAAAATTCCAGACAATTTTGTGCGCAATTTAATCTAAAATATCTGAAAATTTCAATGAAGAATATGCATGCATGTTGTCAAAAATACATGTTTCATCAAGGAAAAATTGGCAACTCTCGAATGTTTATACGGCGTTCTTCCTTAGCACGGCAACAATATGATTCAGCTGTGATCCTGGTGGTTGGCGCCTGCTTTTAACAGAGACTGGCAATCAATCTGAAGATTTGGTCAATGCAACACAAAGAACATTTACCGCACGTTTAGGTTACTTTGTGTTCTGCTCATATTAACACAAAAGTTAGTTACTTTTTCTCACTGTGTGGCCGTCTTTCTACCTGGAGGCCCTGCATCATACTTCGGAATTCATTTGGCTCCTTGCATGATGATATCTAGAGAAATTGAAGGGAAGTGACCAGAAAAAATCAGTCGACTAAAATTTCCATAAGAAGGATATACAAATAATCTGAGAGATGTTCTTTTTTTGAATCACCAATTCGAACAAATCTGGAAATGTCGCACGTTAAACTTCTAAATTTCGACCTCAAATTTCGAATTTCGAAATTTTTTTTTCGAATTTTTGAAAACAAAATTCAAACTTACAATTAAGGGAGAGGTTATGTTCCATGTTCTGGAGCGCCTTTGACACAAATGTTGTCTAAAAAATAACCCACAATCCTTTGTTAAAAATAGACTCCATTTTTACTCTTTAGAATACCTTACTTTCCAACAATTCTCAAGTCTCAACAATTCAAAATGTCTAAAACTGTCATCCATGTCATGGCGGCTCTCTCGAAGAGCCGTATTCGTGACTGAAAGTAGGTTAACTCCTTTCGAGTCCCTAATTTGCTCCTTCATAATCGTCTTCGGTCAGAGCCTCTCAAATATTTGGCCGCGCTTTTATGAACCCAGGGACTTCTTAGCTTCCGACGAGTGTCACGAAAATGAATCATTAACTGCGCACAAACGCCCCCTCCCTATCCGTCTGCCCCCGTCTCCTGCCACTGGGTCTGAGTCTTACCCCCGGAAAAAGGAAGGAGGTTACGGTTATATGCATATTAAACAGAAATATGGGTTAAATCAAGCGCTTTCAAGGTTTAGCAGTTTTGCCAACAGGATATGTCAACACTAATCTACGCCAATGGGTCAGGTGCGCGTGTCATAGAATCGTGTTCGCTGATTGCCTCTTGTAAATTTGTTGAAAATAATATCGTTTACCCCAACGCAAAATTATACGCGGCAACTTAACGCTGATGTTATTTTCGTAAAAATATGTCAGATTAATGATTATGTCATTCACCGCGTTGATGAACACCATGTTTTCCTCTACCTCCGAGTCGGAGGCTCCAACTCGTCAGTTACAGGGATTTCAAAATGGTTAACTTGCTGAATTGCGCGCGTAATTTTATTTCTGTGTGGGTGTTTTAACTTTTGTTCTTTTTCATATATTTTTAAAGAGTATGTAATGATATTCATCTTAAAATTTCGAGTTTTGATACGGTAATTATAAAATTTCAAGTTTTGATGTGTTCCTTTCAAAATTTCGAGTTTTGCTGTAAGTACCTAAGGGTGAATTTACCATGGATTTTTTAAATGAGAATCGACCCAAAAGGTAGGTCGAAAAAACTGCGACAAAAAATAAAAATATAGAGGGTAAGAGAGCTTAAAGTAAATGTTACTGATTGTGACCCCTCAAAAAAGACATTTTTTGCCTGACTCTAGGAAACTAGTGGAAGGTTTCTACTTCCCTCGCATCAAAATGAGTAACAACGCGAAAAAAAGATTTACATACCACAATTTTCTATAAATTCAGGCATAAAATATTTTAGAGGCCGTCGCTGGATTACGCAACGATCTAGGGGGGCCGGGATCGAAGAGGGTGTTACACCATTTGGTTTCAACGTGTTAAAGGACAAAGTCCCACGTCACAGAAACATTACAGGGGGGAAGGGGGTTAAAAACGCTGAAAAAGTGCGTTACGTAATTTAGAGATGGTCCCTTACCTACATCAGAACTTTTACTCCGGTAACTTAAATTTTTTTTCAATTTGAATATTTAACAGGGTCGCCTCAGTCAGGGAGTACCGGAAAAACTGGGAAATATCAGGGAATTTTAAAAATTCAAGGAAAACCTGGAAATGTCAGGGAAAATGACGAAAAAGTCACGGAAAAATCGTTTAGTCATTTTTATTTGCTTTCTCGAGTGGGTTTGACGTCTCTAACAACAAATGTTGCCTGAAAACTATTTTTAACTATATCTTTTTAACAAGCTGGCATTTTTTCAGTTGTCAGGGAAATTCATCAAAAGGTGCCTGGGAATTTTTCCAAATTGTGTGGCAACCCTGATTTCAATCTACCATTAAGAGAGCGGAGGGACAAAACCTCCCCCTCTCCCGTCCACTCCTGTGTCGAGAATATTTCGCGATGATTTTCCAAAGACTGCGTTTTTGACTGAGAAACGTAGCTAATTACATTATTACGCAAATACGGGAGGCGGGAAATAGTCATAAACGGGCGAGTCCATTAAAGCGAAGATTTTCCGGCGACGGAGGAAATGTTAGATCGTCGAGTCGACCACCGCCACCGGGACCGGGCTGAGCCGGCCGCCAAAAGTAATTACCAGACCCGAGGAAGATAACCCGGTCAGCACCGCGGAAAGGCGCGAGGGCGTTAAGGAGACGATTATGACGTCACCCTGGGCGGATGCTCCTGCTCTACGCCCATTGGCCAGACACCCGGCACCTGGTGGCGGCATCATTGTGACGATATTATATCTGTCATAAACGGAGTATTCTTCACGCCGCACAGTGCGGCCCTATGTGGACAAGAATCAAAAATTAACAACTCGAATATTTTTTTGGAGTTAGTCATCTTAAAGATATCTCTGACTCACAATGATGGTTCATTTTCAAATTTTTCGCTAAAAAACTACTTCAAATTTTGGTAGAAAGTGGGCGGAAAATGGGTCGAGGATCACCGGTCCATAAGAAATGCACGGGGAAAAGATGTCAACTTCAAATGAAGATTTCTCGCTTGAAACGCAAAATGCTCCGGGTGGTTGACATTTTCTTAATC